CATTTTCCATACAAAACCAGCGATTAAATAGCAGCTTTTGGAAAGCTCGCCCAACTCAGCAGCACAACCGCTGATTACTGGGCCTGGCACAGGACGGTGGATCAATGCTTCGAGAAACGAACCAATTTACTAAGAAAGCTGCAACAATTTTAATTTTTTCAATTTAAATTTAATAAAGTATTATTAACATTAGTTTTAATAGTTTAATAAAAACATTGGTCTTGTAAATCAAAAATAAGATTTAATCTTTTAAAATTTCAAGAGAAAAGTAATTACTTTTTCATTAATCCCAAAAATTAATATTTTATATAAACTACCACAAAAATTTTTTATAATAAATAAAAATGTAATCAAAAATATTAAATTTTGAACCATTCAAAATGAACTACTAATAAAACAAATTGGACTAATAAAAATTATTATAAAAATTAATTTTAACATTGTAAAATACTAAATGATTGAAAATAATCATTTCGATGAGTACGAATTATTGAAACATGGCACGCTTTGATGTAGAAGAAAAAAATCAGAACAGTTTTTGGCACCTTCGATACCAGAAGCAACAACAAAATACAGGCAAATGTTGTTTTTGCTCAAATGCTCTAAAACTGTTTGATAGGCCTTGAATTAAACAAAAAATGTGATATAATTCATATGAAGAAAGTAACATTCACAAAATATTTTTACTTATGAAAAGTCTAACAAAATATAGGAAAAGCATTGTCTTTAAAAACTGCTCCGCATATTGGACATAGCGCTCTTGTATGAATTTTTTCTGCATGCTTTTTAATATGTTGTTAAAAACATTGGTGGAAAACCTTAAAATGTTTGAATGGAACCATGTCGCAAACGGCTCTCTCGCTTTATTTTCTGACATTCGGCTGCCTTATAGTAACATTTTATAGGCAAATTTTCAAATAAAGCAGTGGCACCTGGTAAATTCCACTATGGGTGGGATGCAGCATGCAATAACACCATACACAATAATTACCATTACTTGGACATTAAAAAGCGGTTTCAGAAGTGAACTAGTGTGATTTTATCATTTTTCCTTTTTCTAAACGGGTATAATGCCACCAGTACATAATTGCGAAAGGAAGGGAGGGGCGGGGGACGCGAGCGCGACGTCACTTTCAAAATTGTATACTTACAAATCCGTCCATTCAACTTGTTTATGTACTACTTTTCTTCAAATGTAACTGGGTGACTACCTACATATGTGCATTAGTTTGCTTTATTACTGAAATTGTTAAGTTTAAAAGTTGGTCTTATTGCTCAACGAGAAATGAAATAAAGCAAATTTGTGTTATTTCACATTCAATTGGGAAATAACACAAACTTGCGTTATTGCCGTGTAAAATGAATGTAAATATTTTTCCGCCGTAAAAATAACCGACATGCCATTCAATGTGTTCTAATTTTGACAGCAGGTACCCGTCAGCCCATTATCCGCTGCTATTCTGTTTACCACAGATGTCAAATTTGCAATTTCATTTGTGGAAATAGCTGATCTCGCCTTAGGCTATCTGCACGCTCCTCGTACGCACGTTCGCAAAGGCAAAGAATTCCATTTGTATTATTATGGACGCTCACACACATCTGTCAAAACTTGTTGTCGGTTTTGGGATTTTTTGCTATGAAGTGCGGATTTTTGTCCGTTTACTGATTCCATTTCCGGATACTTTGACGATCCGTTTTCCCACTAAAGTGTGCGGCAGAAACGTACGTACAGACAACAGTATGTGAAACGGATACGTTTTCGGCCGTTTTTTTTCTGAAATTTGTCTGATAGAATTTTTCGTTCAATACGCTTTCCTTCTGCACTTCACAGATACTTTTTCATGGTTCAAAAGCGATAAAATAAAATTAGGAAGCGCCTGAAGCAATTCGAACCCGGCACATTCTGGAAGCTAACGAATACTGGCACACTCTTCTGCACGCTCAGCCACTGCCGACTGCGCAGGTATGCTTTCAAATGTTTAGCTTAAGCAAATAAAATACAATTATTGCTTTCAAATGACATCATCTTTTTCGAACGTTTTCCGGATACGAAAATTTATGATAACTGTAGGATTTTTTTGTATGCGTTTTCGGATACGGAAAATTGAACTAGACTGCACTGTTTCGGGATACGAAAATTGATGATAATTGTAGGAGTTGTTGAAGTGAAACTACTTAGGCGGCAGTATCGCAAAAATGGAGAGTGAAATTTTTAAAACTGAAAACGTTACATGAGTGAGAAGGAAGATATAGGTAGTATAGGGAACGGGAAAAAAGAAATACAGCGACGCATGACGGGTACGAGTACCTGCATACGTGTATATGTATGTTTGAATGCATGTATGTATGTATATATATATATGTATACGTATATATGTATGTATGAACGAACTCATTGCGCATTTAAGCTCTGCCGGTACCAAGCAATATATGTATAAATGATGCAAGCGTGCTTCGCGTAACTACATCCATTCGTACATATGTACATATGTTTGTATGCACGATCCAGAAAATAAAGGTCGCGCCATTCGCGGACCGCTAACCCTCTCTTCGTCCACCCATTCGCTGACGTCACACAATACTTTTGTTTACATTTTCTGGTTCGTGACATTTTAGGTTATTTCAACTTTACAAATTTACAAATTAGAAAGATTTTGAGCTTTTTTTTGTTTTTTGTGAAAACTTATAAAAAAGTTATATATTAAAGAAAAAATGAGGTGTGCAGTGATTAATTGTGCTAGTGTTAGTGCCAAAGGATCTGGGTGCAGTTTTTTTACTTTTCCGGCCGACATTGAGTTGGTGGAAAAGTGGATCCAGTTCTGCCGGAGACCAACGGATTTCAACGCCCGAACCAGCGTCATCTGTGTAAAACACTTCACCACTGATGACTTCGAGAACGAGCTACCTACGAGAACCTATAAATTGAATCCGGCATCAGATCACATGCAATAAACGGCAACATTTCATTACGATGTATTTTTTATTTATTTGTTATTTAAAAATATAACACGTTCCCCTGATAAAGCTTTTTATTTATACATACTGACCTTCTGCTTCCTACCGGAAATGTTAAGCCGTATGCATAAAAACTAAGCAATTGCTTTTTTCTTGAAATTGCATACCTTTCACTTAAATTTGTTTGAACATAATATTTGAATTATTAATAAACAAGCACATGTACTTATTGCCAATAACAATTTCTATTTTATTTAGTTTTAAACTTTTCTTTATATATTTATGATTACATAAATGGTTCTCGTTTTATTACACAGGATCATCTCTACTTTTTATAGAAAATTTTGAAAAAAAGTGAAACTAAGTGAAGTAATTTTATTATTGGCAGAATTAGTGTCTAACCCTACGTGACTGCTTCTAAAAGCTATCGTGTTTCACGTGGCATATAAGACTTAATTTCATTATTACATTAGTGTTTTTTATATGTATGTATATGAATAGGATATTATATATTTATGTATTTAAAAACCAACAACTTTAGACCGCGCATCTGAACTTGTTAAAATCTTGGCGTGTCACAAACATATTCGTTATTATATAAGGAAAACTACGAAGAATATGAAAAAGAATATCAGTACTGCGAAGATTTTTATCATCAGTTTGGAAGTACTTCAATATTTCACCATGCGCCGCTTCTATGTTCAATTCGGCATCTTGTATGTTTGTATCGATACGCTCCACAGTCTCCNAATATTTCACCATACGCTCCACAGTCTCCTCTTGCTCCTTAACCATATGTGCTGATTGTTGAAATATACTGCCTAGCTCGACAATAGTCGATTCCACGATTGAGAGAAATAGAGATTGCGCCAATCGCGGTACCGTTAATCCGCTCTTTGTGATTTTGACAGAATCAGCTGTGTGCGTGACGTCATCTTGGTGCAAATGTTGATTGTGAGCATACGAAAAAACCAAATAACAATTTTAATATTTGTGTGTTAATATTTCTGCTTGGTTTTAAACAATTATTGAGACATTACAAAGCAAAACGAAGTGTGCAGTGGCAAAGTGTAATATGTAGTGAAAACAAAAGGAATGCGTGCGATATAAGTTTTTTTTCGTTTCCTACGGACGCAAATCTGGCGAAAAAATGGAAGCAGTTCTGCCGGCGAGGAGATGCATTAAACACCAAATCGAGCTTTGTGCTATGTGTGTGAGCTATGAGCTCCTACATGGAACCATGTTGGCCTTTCCTTGGTGAATTGTAGTAGGTACATTTGCATGGTGAACTTAGACAGTTGCTAGTTTAGTTTGCTGGCAATGGCAAAAAACAAAAGCAGTTTCTACAGTAAATAGATACATGAACTTCACTACCTACTTATTTTTGTTAGTACCTGATTCTTTTTAGTGCTGGTATGAGGTAATGCACCAGTGGATAAGGTCGCCAAGCGCTAATTCAAGCGGCATCTTACCGCGCTGTTACGTACCTAATACAAAACAGCTTAAATTATATTTTATTTACATGGAATATTTGTTTCCAAAGAAGCCACACTCATGCATCCTCTCGGAAATGGTAAAAAAGTCATCAAATAAAAGCTGTGGAGTTAACAGCTGTGGAGTTTATGGTGGTTGGCTACCGTACACAAATATAAATATGTACTCTACATGGCGAGTCCAAAAATTCACTTTGCTGCACACCTTCCTTTTGGTCTGTATGAAATTGCAAACACTGTTAATACATCCATTTTTTCATGTGCCAAAAGTCGTACTTACCTAAAGGGCTACATGTCCAAAATTATTGCTACGTGTTCCTAATTAATCAATCTTTGCATATTTATTAATTCCTGCAAAATTGGGCCATGTAATATAAAAATTAACACATTTTTCTGCATTGTTTACATATTTTTATATGCGTTTTGGCATTTCTCTCTCGCAATTGCACCAAAAATCCTCTCTCATTGGCGCAATCTTGTATTCTATCATTCTTGAGTCGATTCAATGTTCTGCATAGTCTCAGCCCGCTGTTGCACGTAACTATCGAAGTCATCATATAATGCAATCTGCTGCTGCGTCTGTATTCCACTACCTCCGACTGCACCCAGCAATGGTGTTGTATCACTTGCGGCCATGTCAATGCTTACGGCCGTATTCTCTTCGCTTAACAGCAAGGAGCCCTGTTTCGCTGTACTCGAGCGAACAGTGCTAGCAGCAATTGGTGACTGCCCGATTTGATACCGACGTGCTTTTTGTTGTTTGAGATTTTTTATACGCACTTCTAGTATCTGTTTGAAGTCGGTGCCCATGCTGGCTAATTTAGATTGTAACGCATACACCATGATGTAAGTCAATTCTTGAATCTATTGCGGTCGATCATCAAAAAGACTCTTCTTTTTAGCCACTGCAAAAGAATCGGTAAAGTAATATTTATAATTAAGAACACCTATTCATTTTATACTCACGCATTGTCAATTTTTCCAACTTGGCATATGCACTTGCTATGTTTTTGCCAATATATTTGTGGCCATCATAAATTCCTTTCATACGTCAATTGTTGCACCATAGCCTGTAAGAAATGCGTAAACATAGTAATGTAAACGTCTTCAAATGCACTTCTACTTCTAACTTACTTGTAAGTCTCTAATCTGTTGCTCGTACATAAATTGCGTCTGCGTCGAGGTCTCTATCCGATTGCGGCCTTGGTTTAAATTGGCCTTATCCGACAACTGGCGTATGATAAGCTGCGCCATTTCCAACTCATTTGACTTTTCTTTGAACTGATGTTCAACATCGGGAGCACGTTGCTGCATTACATCTAACAGCTTTTTCATTTCATCCAGATGAGCCGCTTGATGTGGCAAACACCCAAAAGTTTGTTTACAAAGTGCATTTTTGAGTAGTTGAACAAATGCCAGTGGGCAGCTAGCGGGTCAGTTGCTGGCAACAATTTGCAGGCTTGGGCCAGCGTTTGTTGCGGCTGCCGGAAAAGTAGCTAAATAATGAAAGTAATTATATGTATAGCGGAGTAGGAGGTTTTTCTTTATTTTAAAAGCTTGCTTACTGATTTCACTAATTGACGACGATGCAACGATCACCGTGGAATCGTTCTACAAATTATTACCAGCAACTGACCCGCTGGCGGCCCGCTGGTATTTGTTCAATTACTGAAAAAATGCAAATCATTATAATGATTGCAGTGTTTTAACACTTTCAG